TACCAAATGCATAATGTACATTATTGTCTAACGCATTCAGAAGCAAAAAAAGTGTTTTACGCCTTTTTACAACCAAATTAATGTCAAAACAATAATCGGTGGAAGAGATTACAAATTTCGACAAAAGCAGAAGAAATTTTTTCTATAGTGATCACCAATACATTTCGAAGAAAAATCGCTAAAATTTCTCAACAAAATACATAACATGCCAAAGTCCATCAACATCAGGTTACAACCGCTGTCTCGTTCGTATTCACATGCCAAATTCGTTTATTTTGGATAGATCAAAATCAATTAACTCAAAAATCGTTCATCAAAAAATCATGTTAATCGATGTACTCAAAATTATACGTTAACATACCAAAAATTGTTAAAATTCGGGCCTATTCGTATAGCCTACATACAAGATATTTCACTTGCATGACCCATGAGATCGGTATCCTGCAAGAATGTTGATATAGGTTCATACAATAATAGAAACGAATTACGATGCTTTAAAAATACGAAAATCGAAGTCATTAGCTTGTATCTTATTTTCGTTTACTGATGGAAATTAGATATTCCCCAATTTGTACGAAATTGTTTTTAGTTTTTGACATGTTCTATTGACGATTTGATTCAAATACTCAAATACTATTATTACTTGCAAAACTGGAATCATACAGTTCAAGCACAAAAATGTTAACATCGATTTCATCAATGTATAGTAACATAGAGTTATGTGTAAAATATCGATGTCAAAGGTCAAAAACCTTTCAACTCATTATCTGGAGTAAAACAAGGAGACAACTTATCCCCTTTGTTATTTTTACTGTATTTAAATGACTTTGATGAATTTTTAAGTGAAAATGTGTATGATCCTGTAATTATTAACAATTTGATAATTCCATGTTTGACGTATGCAGACGATACCACCTTATTGTCACGATCACAAGCAGGCCTACAAAAGCAATTAGTTGACTTGAAAACCTATTGTGACCAATGGAAACTTGAAGTAAACATAAATAAATCTAAAGTTATGGTTTTCCAAAAAGCCATTCAGTTACAAGTTATGATTTTTACTACGACAGTCTACCCTTGGAAATTGTTAAACCTTTTAATTACTTAGGTATTGAACTTAGTATGAATGGTAAATTTAACACTGCTCAGAAAGCAATAGCAGTTAAAGGATCTAAATCATTATTGCAATTGTATAATGTCTTTGATGGTGTTTATGTAGATATTAGTCAGAAATGTAAATTATTTGATTCGTATGTAGGGTCTGTTCTCTCTTACGGTGCACTTGTTTGGGGATTCCATACTGCAAAGGAAATTGATACAGTGCACCTTAAGTTCTGCAAAGAATACTGGGAATGAAATCCTCAACGCCTACAGCTGCTGTTATTAATGAATTAGGGCGGATACCCCAGGGTGTCAAAAGGCGCGTACTTATATAAAATACTGGATAAACATACTGCTTAATGATAATTTATTAAGTTTTATTTATAAATCAGTTAGAATATCAGCTAACTATAGACGAGGGGATAACCGGTGCTATAAATTAAAATGTCTGTTAGATACACTAGGCTTAACTGTACTCTGGGATTACTAAGATTATATTATCTCTAAACATGTACTTACTATTATGAAACAAAGGCTATTAGATCAATATGTACAAGTCTGGAACAGCTGAAGAAACAAATGTAGCAAACTGTTTTATCATCATTTATTCACTGTTGATTTTAAAATGCAACCCTATTTAAACTGTATTGTTATAGAAAAATATCGAGTAGCATTATCACGTTTTAGGTGCAGTTCACATTGTTTAAATATTGAAAGTGGCAGGTTTGTTAAGGCTAAAAGAAACACCCGACTATGTATTGTTTGTAACCTTAACGCAACAGAAAACGAGCTTCATTTCCTCTTAAAACCCTTGGGGTATTTCGGGACCCCAGCACCGATTTTTTCGAATTTCCAAAATGCCATCGAAGATAGCAGTTTGGTTATTTCAAACATTGTAGCTGAATGAATTTTTAACCTGCTAATGATCAGTCTAATGTGCAACAATCACAATTAGCGGATATGTTACCCTTTTAAATTGAAACACACCATGCTATTATGGTGGGGTACATTTAGACCCCAGATAAATGCAGTGCTGAAACTGGATTTCAGTGAATAAAATTAAATTGTAATCTACTCCTGAAGCTAGTTATCTTAGGTTAAAGTCAACTTGGCACTAAACCGAAATGTCCCCATGTCAAAATGGCCCTAAAAGTCAAAATTAGTCAAAATGACCCCAAATACAATAGTCAAAGTGGCTCTTAAAATTACTCAACCAAAATCATTGGTCAAAATGGCGGATTTCACTTATTACCAAACGTCACCATTTTTTATCGGCCGAATTTCATTATAATCCCGAGCGGTAATCGGAATTCCAAATGTCGTCTGCTAGAATATAATCCAACGAATGAAGTCACGTGATCAACTAGCGGATTCCGTGTCAGCAGAAAATTTCTATGGAACACAAAGTGGACCATATTCTTATGTTGTTTCAGTGACTTTTAGCAATAAATCACGCTACGTATCTTATTTTGTCAGTCACTATTTTTTTTTTAAATCGTGGTTCTTTGAATGAATTGTCACTAGTTATAATGAATTGATATAAAG